TACACAGCATTATTAATATGATTTTGGAGGTTACAGAACTTTAAAATTACTTTAAAAAATGGAAAATAATTATATCATTTGATTTCAAGATATTTTGTATACCTTAAAAATAATTAATTCTATCCCTGGATTTCCCGGGATCCCGGGAAACAGTTCACTTTTATCCCGGGATCCCGAGACAAGCAAAAGACCGGGAAATGAGAAACCCTACTCCATACTGTTTAACATTAGTGATGTAGCAAGACTTGATGTTTTCAGTGAGGGTTCTTAGCTAACCACATGCACGGTAACTTAATATTTTACACAAAAATAAAATTATTATATAATAAAGTTTATATAATCATTCACTAAAGATGTTATGGTATCATGTTATTAATAGTTTTCTTAATGAGATTAAGTTAATTAAATTTCTTTGATAGCTCTCTCATGAGCGAGAAGAGGCAGAAAGAAGAGAACTGCAAAAATTAATTATGGGGGAAGAAAGTGTTGCTAATGATGATAGAAAGAAGAGTAAAGGTTTGTAAGATTATTTTGATTGTTTGTTTATGCTTATTGATCAATTTACGAGAATAAAAAATTTGAATTTGAATTAAATAGAAAAACAGAAGGAAGACGACAATGCTTCGGTAGCAAGTATGGGTTCAAACTCGGTAAATAATATTTTTTCTTATAAATTATTATGGTTAAGAATAATTATTAACTAAAAGTATATTATCCATTTCCATTTTTACATCAATAAATACAGTATAGAACCACAGTGCCAAGTTGTGGCTGTTCTAACCTCTTTCTGTGACTTCTGTATACTTATACGATTTATNATTGATCAATTTACGAGAATAAAAAATTTGAATTTGAATTAAATAGAAAAACAGAAGGAAGACGACAATGCTTCGGTAGCAAGTATGGGTTCAAACTCGGTAAATAATATTTTTTCTTATAAATTATTATGGTTAAGAATAATTATTAACTAAATACATATTATCCATTTACATTTTTACATCAATAAATACAGTATAGAACCACAGTGCCAAGTTGTGGCTGTTCTAACCTCTTTCTGTGACTTCTGTATACTTATACGATTTATTTTTTCTAAACTTGGTACAAACTACACATACATATACAATACTTTTGTGAGGTTGCTAACTATTATATGTTGTAATAAGCACACAGATTGTAAGCATACTTTGCAACTTAAGCTTAAACAGACAACTGAGATGCAAGGGTACAGTGTGTTTTTAAAGTTGGAGAAGTTAAACAAATATGTACTTGAGCTGGTTATAAACTAACAGTGACATTAGCTATAAAACAGTGTTAATTATATATTTACATAGTAATTAAAATACCATTCCAATAGAGGATGTAGCTCTTGCATATTTCTGATATGGCTCCTATCTTGACTAGGTTTGGCCCACCCTTGGTATAAAAAATTAATGTTTATTCTGAAATTCAAAAATATTGCTTTCACTTATTTCTTAAAACACTTTATTATAATTAGCTTAATGATACTAGCCTAAGTGTATATACTTTCATCAGTTATATATAGTTATGTATATATGATTAAATAATAATCTTCTATATTATAATTAAATATAATAGAAAAGTTTGAATTTACCAATCTTGACATATAGTAATAATTAAGTGACACCACAGGATTTTAATTTGGTCTATAATACAGCATATTAATTATAAAGATATGTAATTTGGTCTAAAGTTTAATAATTAGAAATACATAAATTTAGAATATGCTTTAAGAAAAGATAGATCTGAAGCAAGACTTGAACTTGCAACTCCTGCTTAGTGTGTGGATGCATTGGCAATTATGATAAATAGATATCTATCCAATCTTTGCTACCAGACCAATTAATTTAAAAGGCATAACCATAAATTAATTAGCCACATTATAGCCTGATTAAAAATCTGACAGTATTGTTTGCTTATTACAAGTAGCAAAAAAAAAAAAATTGTATGATATTTATTGAATCTTAATATTTAAGCTTTACACTTTCTTTTAATAAAGTTGACAAATGACATTAGACTTTAAGACAATGATTTGATAATCTGCATTACGGTAATGTTTGATAAAACAGCCAGGCCAATATTTTTTTAAACTCCGTTTGCTTCGTTGGCACTAAGAGTCTCTTTTAGCAAGTCCATTATGGGTTCAGTCGTACCTGCCAAGTGGCAAGAGACAGGGCTTGATATATCTGAATGGACTACCTCCTGAAAAACTACTAGGGTTTTCAAAACTGCCTGGATTTCATCCTGTCTCCCTGGGTGGTAAGCTGCCAGCTTAATTGCTCGGCCATCCAGCCATCAGATCAGGATAATGTTGTCTCTTTTGAAAACTTTGTAATTTTTTATATATTTTCGACCTTTACTACTTAATCAATAGCTTATTAATCAATATACTTCAGTATATAAAACAAAGAAAATATTAATAAAAGTTAAGTTTCATAAATATATAAAATTATTTGTCTATCCATTGGTCCAAGTTCATAGTTTCATTTATTTATCATCCAAAAAATTGATCTTTAACATTAAAAACTAGAAATTGAAATATTTTGTAAACATAATTTCTAGATAATGAATCAGATTTTTGTATTTTATTAATAAATTTAAAGGTAACAGTAGAAAATTTATTTCTTAAATTCTAAAATAATATTTATAGTGCATAAATAATAAAATATTATATAAGTAATGAATCTAATTAACTCTTTATATGCATTAGAGTGGAAGAATTTTGAAAATTTATAGAACTTTCAAATCTCAAGAAGGGAAAGAGTACGTGCGAATAGAAACAGTAAGAAAGCCTGCCGTCATCGATACTTACGTTCGCATTCGAACGACTAAAGATCCAGCTTTTATGTAAGCATTTATCTTTAAATTATTCTATCAAAAATTGGAAAAGAATAAAAGATTTAATTATGTTATGACAGTAAACAGTTCGCATCTACTCTTGATGAACATCAGAAGGAAGAAATAAGAAAAGAAAGAAGAAGGTAATTTGAAGTTTTATATTGTAGAATAGAATAGATTAAGCAAATGGCAAAAGCAGCAGGCCAAGCTATAAAAAATTTGCTTATTAATGTGACAGACCATATTTTGAATCTGATTCATATCCTTGCGATTTTAAATACAGTTGAATCTTTTTAGTTTGAACACTTATGAAAATTTGATAATTCAAATTATTGGTATTTTCAAATTAGTTTGACCTTCAAAAATCCATTTTGAAAATTAAAGTAGTTTTTGACAAGTTTCTAATGTTCTTTAGTATTTCATATTGTTTGGAAATATTGCACTCTGTCTCTAATTTCTTTTCTAATCTTTCAATCATTTAAATATTTTGCTAAAGGTAAATTTGTATGCATTCTACATGTAGATAATCATAAAAACATAACTAAAGAACCCTTCTGTCTACACAGATATCATTTACAGAACACAAATTTTTGGGCAATTTCTGAAACATAGACAACTATAAATCACTTGACTACATGTTACTTTCTTTTTTAAAGTTTCATTTTCGAATTTTCTAAATTTTTACTTAAAATTCAAGTTAACTGTATTTTTTTTTAAGTGGAATAATAGGGGATTTGAATTAATCAGATTCAACTGTTAAAGTATTCACTGCCTTCTAAGGAGCAATGTTTCTAGCCGTGTGTTGAAAAAGGTTCTTGCATTTACCTAATATATAAATGTCAAATAATTTATTATAATGCTTGCGAGATGTTGGCATATGTGATGTAGACTGTTTCGAGACATCGCTGCCAATGAATGTATTTAATTAGCACAGAATCTTGCTCATATAAATTTGTAATTTTAAACCTGTGTTATAAGTTATAATGTATATCTTGGTGGAAAAATACTATAATATTTTTAAGTTTGTTAGAAACAAATTATGTTTTAGAGTGTGATAGAGGGATAGTTTGCATTCCAGAAGTGTTTGATGACCTCAAACAAGTACTTGCTCCTAGACAGCTCTGGATTCACTGGAAAAGGTTGAAGGCAATATCAGATGGTCTCTATATATGTCATGCAATTTTCATATACATCTCTTTGTAAATTAATCTAAATATCTTTTGCTACAAAAATATGATTTATTATTCTTATATATAAAATTTAAATTGATTAGAATACAGGAACAGTTAAGAAGATTGAAAAGAAATGCAGAGAAAGAGAGATTAGCACCACCAAAGAAAAAACCAAAGAAAGAGCAACCTGTTCTGAAGGTAATATTTATTATTTTATTTATAATAATAATTGTTATATCAAGACAATTTCTAAAACATTAAGTCTGATTAAGTCTTAAAAATATACAAATAACATTCATTTTCAATACTCCAGCTAAAATGTGGAGCTTGCGGAGCTATTGGACATATGAGGACTAATAAAACCTGTCCACTCTATCAGCCTGCTGCACCCGTTCCTCCCGTTCAGGTAGCAATGACTGAGGAACAAGAGGAGGAAGAGGAAAGAGCAGGATTGGACGATGACGATCTAGTAAAAGTAGATGAAACTAAAGTGGTTTTGTCGAAAACATTAGTCAAGCATGCAGATGAAGTGAGAAGGAAGTCTTTGGTTCTTAAATTTCCTAAAGAAGCTGTTTCCGTCAGGAAAAGGCGTCGAGCGGGTACCGTAGTTCATTGCGATTACCTTAAGAAACCAAATAAGTCAGCAAACCGACGCAGGACTGATCCTGTGGTAACTCTAGCAATTATTTTGGAATCAATTTTGAATGAAATGAGAGATCTTCCTGATGTAAGTAGTGAATAATTACAATTCTTTAATACAAAAAAACTCAAAATTATGCTTAATTTTTTTCACCTTTTTGGCTGCAGACGCAACCTTTCTGGACTGCCGTAAACCCAAAAGTCGTTCCCGATTACCATAATATAGTATCAAGACCAATGGATCTACAGAGAATGCGCGAAAAGGTTCATGAGCATAAATATCAGAATCGAGAGGAATTTCTACAGGATGTGAATCAAATTGTTGAAAACAGTACTCTCTATAATGGTGAGATGTTTAAAAATATTATTGGTTTATTATTTTATCGAGAATAAAATATTTAGTGTCAAACTAAAATATCACTCAGGAGGAAAGAGTATTTATACTCAAACTGCCCAGAAAATGTTTCAACTTTGCATCAACCGGTTTGCCGAAAAAGAAGAGAAATTAATGAGACTCGAGAAGGCTATTAATCCACTTTTGGATGATGATGATCAAGTCGCCTTCTCATACTTATTAGAAAATATTGTCACACAGAAGTTGAAGACTATTCCCGAATCGTGGCCATTCCATCGCCCGGTTAATAAAAAGTTTGTTAAAGATTATTATAAAATCATTAAGAATCCAATTGATTTGGATACAGTAATTAGGGTAAGTATATTTTTTTATTTATTTTTATAAAAACAAGTATTATCTATAGAAATGATATAAGAAATTGTCTGTAAATTGGAACATAATGAGTAGAAGCATCATTGTCTCTTGCAATTTCTCTTCAGTATGTTGTGTTGCATTTACAGTTTTGGGAGCTTCAGAATTTGCTTTACTTTCTATATTTGATTGGATATGAAACTGTTATATACATTCCTTTAGTTTGAAGCTCTTATATGATGTCTTTATATCGTCTGCAGAGATGACAACCAGATTCTTCTTTATTAAAAATATACTGTATTCCAGATAATTCTTTATTAAATATACTGTAGACACACCAAGATTTGGAAAATAGACCAGGTTCAGTGTTAATGAAATTGACTTAGAAGTCACAATAACAAATACTTTCCATGATTATCATACTATCTTCAGAAACAGATCAGAAATGGAATTTGATTTCTGTTCTGTTTGTCTGAAAAGTTTGACTTTTGCACTTTCATTATAAACATGGAAGACAGATAAATTATTATGCATTATATGAAACTCTAGTTTTCATATGTGGAAAAATATATATCATTTAATATCATCATCATCATCAAGGAAAAAGTAGCTAAAGAAGCATTGAATGGAATTTCTCACTCAATGTTACCCAGTGTTAGTACTTAAATATACGTTTTATCTTGGGTAATTTTTGTGAACTTCTCATAATTTTACTTCAAATTAAAAAAAAGAGTTTTAATTAAAGAAGAATTTTATATCTGGAAATATTCAGGTCTGGAATATATCTGGAAATATATATATAAAGGGTCTGTAGGAAATATTCAAATTCTATTGCATTATTTCCTAAAATATACTTAATTGAAAATGAACTATATTTACAAAGAATTTCGCTATAATGTTTCAAAACTAAGATTATTTATTGTTAAATTGCAACAATAATTACAAAAATATCAACTAAATGATAGCAAAAAGAGAGTATATTAAAATTGATATATGCTTAATTAAATCAGAATAAGCTGCATTTTGTTTTATGATTTGATTTCTTCCTATTGCCAGTTACCTATGTTCAATTCCAATTTAGCTATTAGATCATGGATAGGGCCCTTGTAACTCTCGAAAGTAATGTCAATGATATAGATGATTCATGTATATTGAAAGCATCTGTACTATAGAAATTACTTCTATCATTAAATATCAGATATCATTTAAGCATCCAATTCAAGCTTATAGTTTATGTTATACATTAAAGGACATATTTCAAACAAGATCAAACTATCTTTTGAAAAACATTTACATTGGTAATGTTAAAAATATTATTTACATAAAGCTGGAAATGCAACTTCATTGAATAATTTTAAAGTTAATAAACTAATATATTTTTTACAGAAGCAGTTTCTGTATTTAATAAATCCTTACGTAAAGTTCTTGCTGGATGTTAGGCAAAAATGACATATGGCGGAAACCAATTTTACTATAGACTAAATAATATAAACAAGATAGAATTCAGTTAATGTTATACTAATTGAATCGTGGATCATGTTTTCAATCTCCAGCATTTATTTTTCATCTCCTAGAATCAATTTTACTGTATTAAATTGTGATAACCTAACCAGTTTTATAATTTACAGCTTTTCAATTTTACTGCTTATAAAGAAAACTCAACAACAATAATTGTAAATTATTACAAACGTACTTAACTTTATGCCATGATGTTAAGCGAGGACTTGCTGTAATTTAAAAACTAATTATGTTTGGATCTTCTCAATTTATCACCATATTAATTTGAAATCTGGCAAGAAATTTTTATAAAACAATCATCATTGGCTTTTTCTAAAAACCACTTTCAAGTTATATTTTTGTAGAATTGTTGCATAAAATTTTCTTGCTGGATTTAAAAGAAAAACAATAGACTACTTTAAATGAATTTAAACTTAAAACATTTAATTTTAAATAAGAATATATTAGAACTTATTAATTGTTAACACTCACAATTTTGTAAATTTAAATTGTTACAGCTTGTCTCTCTGATTTATTATGTACACCATTATTGGGCTGCAATTTGAATAAATTGTAGACCTATAAGTTTCCACTGTTGTCTGTCTGTCCATCCTTTATCTCGAGAATGGAGTTACATAGAAGAAAACTGAGACCAGAATTGAGAGATTAGGGACAGGAGACCCCAATTAACTATATACGAACTTCTGGTTTGAACCATAAGCTATGTTATTTCAATTCAAAAATTTTCCCGTGAAAGGACTTAGTTTGATGATTGGCATGACTTTACTTCTAATAGGAAAAGTATGTACAGGGGCAAGACACTACTAATTTGAGGTGGAACACATATATTTTAAATTAAATAAATTAGAAAAAAATATGATTAAAATATTATTTATTTAGATTATTTTGTAATTGACTAACACAAAAACCTCATCAAAAAATTTGCTTTTCTGTCATTAAAAAATCATTATTATTGTTAAGTTTAAACATAATTTATTTAATATTTGAAACAGTTGCCATTAATTTCATTTGTATTTATTTAGTTGTTGATTCTGTTATTGATGATATCAATAAATCTATTGATATGAAGTATCATTATGTATATCATACACAGTATATCCATTTATCAAATTAGAAAAGACCTGATAAACAAATTTAAATTTGAATACTTTTATTGATCTTTCTAAATACTAAATTCAGTAAAAGTACTTGAATTTAGACTTATTTTATCATCTGTCTTTTAATATTATGTATATAAAATAACTGTAGATTAATGAATCATTTCTCTGTTTGCATATCCATAAACTTCAACAGTTCCATTATCATATTTTTGTTTTTGTTTTTTGTTCAGTCAAAAAATATTTCATTATAAATTTTCTTTGATAACAATGCCATTAGTTACGCTAGCCAGATCCACAGTCAAACAGTAAAATTTAGAAGAAAATTCTTTCAAATCTTGACAAATAGAAGGCTTAAACAAACCAAACTTGTTTTTTATAAGAAATAATTTAACTCTTTAAATATTCCAAGAAAAGTCGAATTAGATTTGCATTTGAGGAGCTTTTTAAAAATACAGTAATACCTCGACTTACGCTACCCCGACTTACGCAAACCCAGAGTTATGCGATTTTCAAATCTCGTCTGTTCATCTTTTGTATGAGCACCACAAAAGTCTTGATTACTCACTCCTCCCACACTATTGTTCAGCTTACATGTTCAGACGTGTCGCGCAGAATCGACACATAGCTACAACTTATTTTGTGTTATTTATTTCTGTGTTTGTTATATCTACGGAGACTTGAGAGACTCTATGTGGTGATTTCTTGTAACCGTGAACGAATCAAAAGACGATATAAGATTAACGAGAACATTTATTAGCTTACATATATCCGACTTGGATTTTACACAAATTGCGAAATTATACCCTATTTATGCGAATTCGACTTATGCGATTATCGCTCGGTCCCACCTATCGCGTAAGTTCGGGGTATTACTGTAATTTAAAATATATTTGAGTAAAGTATGCTAAAACTTCTTTCTCATTCAAATTTATATTAAGAAATAACAGACTTTCATCCTTTGTGGTATATTTTACATGCTACGTATTATGAATTTTTATTAATTTATTTAAGTTTATGTAGTTTAAATAAATTAAAATTGCAGAGACAACTAATTAAACTGATGTAAATGTGAATTTTATATATGAATTATGAAATCTTTTTCTAGACTAAAAACAATAACTTAAGATAATAAAAGTTATGTTTTATATATAGAGAATGCTAACATATAACAACAATAAACAGAACATTTTATCATACTAGTTTTTTAATTAATCTCTAAAACACTTCTGCGTTAATTTACTTAATGACCTGACTTAAAAATAACATAAACAAAATAAGTCTTTATTTGTAACTGTAAGATGTATCTTAGCATTTAAAACTTTAATAGATAATTTAACAGAATCTTCAAGATGTCCTTAAAAAAAACTTTACTGAACTCGTCTTAAGTTGATTGCTCTGTTGCAAGGTGTACAAGTTATCAAGACTAAACCAGCAACGATAGGTCATTGACGTAAATCTGGAATTTCTTAGGCAGTCTTTGAGATAAGACTGTTGATAAAAGTATAAGCATTTGTTAAGTCACTGAAGAATAAAAACACCAAACAGTCAATAACTGGACCTGCTCAAGACATGTTTCAAAAATACCACTGAAGAGCTGCTATACTAGAATTGCTTCATAACAGAAAGTCGCCCTCCCAAATTGTGGCATGAAGGCTATGATTGTGAGGATGCAAGTCAAGAAGCTCAAGGAGTTTGTTAACAAGGAGAATGTGATTCTTGACAGAACAACTCACAGTAAGCATTCTGATCACAAGAGAAGTGCAGAATTCATAGCAAAACTGAAAAGAGAAGATTGATCAGAATGGTGCACGAAGCATGAGTGCTCTGTTAATAGAAATAGGCATGATGAGGTCGACAATTAGTTGGCAATGCATGAGATTGGCAATAGGACAGAAAACTGAAGGCTCGGGCTCTGATCCATCTTGTGGCAACCCCATCCAGCCCATCTGTGATTCCCTTGACTGTTACGCACAGGGTATGGTCAAGACAAAGGTAGACGCAAAGCATCGCAATACCAAGGATGCAGTAAATGCTTCCATCACAGAGGTGGTGATGAACATGATCACAGCAGGTCAAGCATGCCTGCAGTTGTTTCAAGCCAAAGCAGGAGAAAAGTAGTGGAAGTTGGCAAAGGTTACATAGAATAATTTCATTCTGTACATTGTAAATTACTTTTGTATCAATTTTCATAACAATATATTGATTTTTCCTTTTGTTTTTAATTGTTTTTCATTAAATAGTGACTTTATCAGATTTACCTCGACAATCCCATATATATATTACAGTGTGTTCAATATGTTTATCATCAACTTCAATAAACTTTGTGTTCTTTGCAATATAGAAGGCATTGTGGAAGGGAATTGATCATTCTGTGCATTCTTCAGATCCATATCTTTGCATTTCTTTATATTGGTGTAGCTCAATGGTGGTGTATGTCAGGTTCTGTCAGTAGTTTGAAGAATGTCTCTTAAAATAAAGAAAATTTCAGATTAAATGACTCAGTGTGATGTAAAACTTAGGGATAAGGTAGAGGAAGCTCATTTAAGCTGAAGGCAAACATATCAAACACATTATAAATGACTACAGATGCTGGACAATAACAGTAGCAGCAAAACAATCAGAAATTGAATTAGAAATAGTCAGATTGAGAGACAAAGCCATACTTCATGAAGCAGTGCACAAATGATAGTTATCAATTTGTTTTAAAGCATTATAAAAAAACCTGCAATGAATTGAAATTCAACCTAAAAAAATTTGAAGGAAGCAAAGCAAAGAGTTTAATCTGGCTTGCTTGTATATCAGTGTGAAATGGTTTACTGTAGAAATGTAATGATGCAGGGCTTTATGGGATGAGAGTTGGAAAATTGGTGTTTATAGATAGATAACACATTGAATGAGAAGTGTTGTTACAATGTTCTATACAGGAATTTATTGAGTTGGCAGCGAAACTAGGATCTAGATCATTTTCATTCAGGTAGGATAACAATCCTAAGCATACCGCTGGGCTTTTTAGGCAAAACAAAAGTATTAAAATGTCAAGCCAGATCACAGACGTCGACCCTACGAGCATTTACGAGGTTTACTGGAAAAAAAAAATTGGGTGAAAGACAATTTAGGAAGTGAGAAAGAAGTTAAATTAAAAAATAAAAGAAGTATGGAAAGAAATTCAAAATTTAATTTCATCAATGCCCAGATACTTAAATGATGTGGTAAAGGCCAAGGGAGGCCCTACAATATATTTATTGTTTATTTTTGTTTTACGTAAACTTAAACTTTAATGTCTGGTTAATTATTACTTTGTAATTATTTAAAACATTAATTTTTCCACCAAAACTTGACATTTTAAGAGCTAAATTTGGCTTCCTAATTTGATATTTATAGAAAAATATTCAATTACAGTCAGATGTATTTGTAACTTTTGATATTTTATGGTGTAAATTTATATGATTTTATGATATAAATTACTTATAGCCACTATGTGTACTGTGTACTGTTGTTTATATTTTTATAACTTTTACCAGAAAAAATGCAAATTTTTTGATTTATTATGACATTAAATTTTAATTTTCTCTATGTAGTATTTACCAAAGAGCAATATTCTGCATCAGATATGAGTGCGCGAGTAGGATCGTATAATGCTCAGTTAATCATTCTGAGTATTTTATGTCTGTTGTTATGATTCACTTGGGAATTATTATGACTCAGAAAGTCAAAGTTTTGTATAAATTACAGTTTTAAATTGCATTATGACATTAAAAAAAATGCCTTATAAATTCATTAGGAGGTTTTTTTGGTTACAGTTTTGTTTTATTTTCATTAAGGACATTATTCCTGGTGTCAAAAAGCAAAACTTTTTGTCGGACAGTGGGTTCTATTTTATTTTCTTCAATAAATTAGTATTTTTATGATAAAAAGTTTGCTTATTATATCTTAAAAAATTAATAAAAGTATAATAATCGGTCAATACATCACAGAAAAATATTCAAATCTTCTGCATTCAAGTCCAAGCTGATCATCAGAAAGACAACTAACTTGGATTTGAGAATTGATCTAGATATATTACAGTGATCCTTGTCATCTGGTTAACCCATTGTGGACATGACCCAACCTATAATGGGCATAAAAAAATATCTTAAGTATCACAAGACAGGAAAGTAATTCTATATATATCTGTTTCATTTGATGAATACCAAAATTACAATACTGATAAGATATAGTGATGATATTGCTTATAAAGATACTAATATATATAATTTTGCTAAGATAATCAGGTTTTTTGGCATGTCGGAGCTTTTTTCTGATGATTTACTGAATAGTTGCAATATATTGAGAAATATAAACAATGTTATACTTTCTTGCAGAATATCAAAGGACATAAGTATCATAATCGCGAAGACTTTTATAATGATGTGGAATTATTATGGAAGAACAGTTTAACATTTAATGGAGCTGAAAGTCAGTTTACCAGAAAAGCAAAAGAAATAGTAGAAGCATGCAGAGCTGCTCTTGACGAGGTACAAATATTTGGCGACCCTTTTATTTGAATATAACATTATTTATATTTATTTATTTGTTTTATTTTTTCTGCAGCAAGACGAACAACTGACGCAACTGGAGCATGCCATTGCAGCCGTACAGGAAGCGGCTCTCGATGCGGCCGAAACGGATTCGGTCGTCACTGGAAATTCTGCACCTCACGAAGACAGCATGATGATGGAAGATAATACTAAAGATGAAGAGATGCAAGACAAGATATCTCATAGTTTTAATCAGGTAAGCTTTTTTTGATAACATAATTTGTTAATGCAGATAGTAAACAATATGTTGACTAACACGCCAAAATTAATTAATAAACAAAAACAAAAACACTGAGTTCGGCGTTATATGCGTTTTATTATCGCTAGTACTTTCGACGAGCTTATTGTCGTCGTCCTCAGGCGATTTAGACAAAAATTATCGAACACAAAATAGAACGCGTAATATAAATTGAAATTGTGCTAAAGCCGTTAAGAACACGTAGAAATTTAAACATAATTCGAAAGCCGAACGAGCAGATAGCTCCGTGAAGTGCGAGCTGGCGCATGCGCAGAGCTATGCTCTCGCTGCATGCATTCTAGAGACTACGAGTACTCGCTTAATCGCTTATACAACGTGACCCATACACTGGGCAGCTCAAGGGTAGGGGTGTTGCAAGTGTCCAAGGTGGTAGTGAGGAGAGATTCCCATATAAAAACAGTTTTTCGATCTTTGCAGCTCTTGAGCATAACCACTTGGGACCATAGCGGGTTGTAACCCTGCTCAAGTACCTTTTTTGCGAGCTCGGTGGTGTGTCTTCCCCTCATAACATCGTCTTGGTGCTCATCAAGGCGGCTGGAAAGCATTCTAGTGGTGGCCCCGATATATCTTGTATTTACTCCCATTGCCTGATTTTCCAACGGTACAGCATAGACCCCCGATTTCTCAAGAATGGAAAATTTGTCTCTATCATTGCAAATAAGTTTGCGTAGGCTTGGAAGTGGGGTTAAAGGTAGAACAAGGTTGTGCTGCTTAAAGATTCTGCAGATACGTAAAGATATGGGTCCAAAGTAAGGCAACGCTACTTGAACCTTTGAAGATTCTCTTTTGCTGCATAAAGTAGTACATGGAAACAGTGCCTTGTTTACCTTATTGAGCACATACGTAAACTTTGCACGTGAAAAGCCCGCAGCGCGTACCGCCATATCGATGATCTCTAATTCGACGTTTATCAGCTCCTGCGTAGACGACAGTAAATAAGCCCTTCTGACAAGGGAGGCA